CGGAGGCTAGGTGGGCTGGTGCCAGAATTGGAATATGTGTGCCATCTATCACGCCTCCGCTGTTAGGGAAACCCATTTGTGCAAAGCCATCTAAAATGTCATGTACGTTACCCAGAGTCATGGTTCTTCTGAGCAGGATGTGATTAATGGCCCTGCAAACTTGCATCAACATGATTCCAATGGTCGACTTTCCCACTCCAAACTGGTTAGCTACCGATTGGTAGCTGTCTGGAGTTGCCAGCTTCCAGATTGCAATAGCCACATGCTTCTCCACCATCAGGGCAGATCTCAATCTCATGTCCTTGCACCACAGGGTGGGGGCGAGCTCCTCACACAATCCCATGAAAGTGACTTTTCTCATCTGAAAGTTCTGCAGCCACTGCTCGTCATCACAGACTTGCATGACAATGTGATCCCACCACTCAGTGCTTGTTTCCTGAGCCCAAAAGTGGCGTTCCATGGTGGTGAGCATGTCCATGAATGCTGCAAGTGAACTCATGTCATATGCGTTACTCGAGTCGATATCATTGTCAGAGCCCTCACTGTCACTTTGGATCATAAGGAATAACTTGACTGCCAAACGTGACGTGATGGCGAGACTCGTCAGTATACTCCTCAGCAGTTCGGGTTCCATTCCAACAGACCGAAAAGGAAGACAGAGTGTGCAGTACAAAAAAGTTGAAAGATGGTGCCAAATGTGCATGGAAGCACAGGGGTTGCTGGGATGCGAACTGATGCATCACTGGGCATTGGGACCCAGAATGCCCCGCCCCTCCCTGCCCCCTTCCCACAAGCCACAGCGCCAGACTGGGAAGAGGTGCTTTGTGGGATAGTTGCCCATAATGTACTGCTCCCAATGCCGCTGCAAGTGCCGCAAATGGGGCCATGCCAGTGCACTTGCAGCTGTCAGTGTGGACAGACTGCAGCACTTTCCCTACTGCGCTCTCCGAAGGCTGGTTTAACACAAAGCGCTCTACATCTGCAAGTGTAGCCATGCCCTAAATCTCAGGGATTAGCTACACTCAAGTTAAAGTGCTCTAATTTGCTGGCTCAGGGGGTGAAAACCACCCCTCCCCCCCAGCACAACAAGTTTGAGCACTTTAAAGCGCTAATATGGACAGGCTTGGCTTCCAGTGCTCGCAGCTAAGCCCTCGTCGAGGTGGATTACCAAGAGTACTGGCTCCCGCCACAGCGCTTTGAACTTTGTAGTGTAGACATAGCCTCAATAGGTTAGATCAGACAAAGAGGAGCTGCACTGACTAGGCATTGGGATGTCTGTGCCTTTAAGAACCCAGCCCTGGGAAGCCCATACTGACAGATGCTGTCTGTGAGCGGGGAAATAAAAAAGCCCCTTTGCCCCCCACCATTTTTGCAAATACCAGTGTCTCAGTCCCACTGGGGTAACTGTTACCCCCTCTGTCCCTGCCTGTGCCGGGTTTTGCCCTCTGTCACTCTCTGCCAGTGCCTCACCAGGACCTTAACTCCTGCTCCCCCCCACTCCCGGATTTTGAACTAAATCCCCTCTCCTAATCCTGCCTCCAGCTGCTTGACATTCCTGACCAGTCAATTTCCTCCCTCTGCTCAGACCTGGCCACCCCCCTGCTCCGATTTGTCCCCTTTGCCCCTTTTAAACCCCTCTCAAAAGCAGTCAGCAGAATTTTACCGCTGATAAGGGCAGGGGGAAGGGCTGTGGCTTCAGCAGGTGAAGCGGCGCATGCTCATTACACCTCAGGCACACATTCCTCATACTGAGAATGAGGGGCGATCAGCAGGTTATCTCAAGTGCTTATATACGAATGCACAAAGCCTTGGAAACAAGCAGGGAGAACTGGAGGTCCTGGTGATGTCAAGGAATATGACATGATTGGAATAACAGAGACTTGGTGGGATAACTCACATGACTGGAGTACTGTCATGGATGGTTATAAACTGTTCAGGAAGGACAGACAGGGCAGAAAAGGTGGGGGAGTAGCACCGTATGTAAGGGAGCAGTATGACTGCTCAGAGCTCCGGTACGAAACTGCAGAAAAACCTGAGTGTCTCTGGATTAAGTTTAGAAGTGTGAGCAACAAGAGTGATGTAGTGGTGGGAGTCTGCTATAGATCACCAGACCAGGGGGATGAGGTGGATGAGGCTTTCTTCCGGCAGCTCGCAGAAGCTACTAGATCGCACGCCCTGGTTCTCATGGGTGACTTTAATTTTCCTGATATCTGCTGGGAGAGCAATACAGCGGTGCATAGAAAATCCAGGAAGTTTTTGGAAAGCGTAGGGGACAATTTCCTGGTGCAAGTGCTAGAGGAGCCAACTGCGGGGGAGCTTTTCTTGACCTGCTGCTCACAAACCGGGAAGAATTAGTGGGGGAAGCAAAAGTGGATGGGAATCTGGGAGGCAGTGACCATGAGTTGGTTGAGTTCAGGATCCTGACACAGGGAAGAAAGGTAAGCAGCAGGATACGGACCCTGGACTTCAGGAAAGCAGACTTCGACTCCCTCAGGGAACGGATGGGTAGGATCCCCTGGGGGACTAACATGAAGGGGAAAGGAGTCCAGGAGAGCTGGCTGTATTTCAAGGAATCCCTGTTGAGGTTACAGGGACAAACCATCCCAATGTGTCGAAAGAATAGTAAATATGGCAGGCGACCAGCTTGGCTTAATGGTGAAATCCTAGCGGATCTTAAACATAAAAAAGAAGCTTACAAGAAGTGGAAGGTTGGACATATGACCAGGGAAGAGTATAAAAATATTGCTCGGGCATGTAGGAATGAAATCAGGAGGGCCAAATCGCACCTGGAGCTGCAGCTAGCGAGAGATGTCAAGAGTAACAAGAAGGGTTTCTTCAGGTATGTTGGCAACAAGGAAAGTGTGGGCCCCTTAATGAATGAGGGAGGCAACCTAGTGAAAGAGGATGTGGAAAAAGCTAATGTACTCAATGCTTTTTTTGCCTCTGTCTTCACTAACAAGGTCAGCTCCCAGACTGCTGCGCTGGGCATCACAACATGGGGAATAGCTGGCCAGCCCTCTGTGGAGAAAGAGGTGGTTAGGGACTATTTAGAAAAGCTGGATGTGCACAAGTCCATGGGGCCGGACGAGTTGCTTCCGAAAGTGCTGAAGGAATTGGCGGCTGTGATTGCAGAGCCATTGGCCATTATCTTTGAAAACTCGTGGCGAACGGGGGAAGTCCCGGATGACTGGAAAAAGGCTAATGTAGTGCCAATCTTTAAAAAAGGGAAGAAGGAGGATCCTGGGAACTACAGGCCAGTCAGCCTCACCTCAGTCCTCGGAAAAATCATGGAGCAGGTCCTCAAAGAATCAATCCTGAAGCACTTACATGAGAGGAAAGTGATCAGGAACAGTCTGCATGGATTCACCAAGGGAAGGTCATGCCTGACTAATCTAATCGCCTTCTATGATGAGATTACTGGTTCTGTGGATGAAGGGAAAGCAGTGGATGTATTGTTTCTTGACTTTAGCAAAGCTTTTGACACGGTCTCCCACAGTATTCTTGTCAGCAAGTTAAAGAAGTATGGGCTGGATGAATGCACTATAAGGTGGGTAGAAAGTTGGCTAGATTGTCGGGCTCAACGGGTAGTGATCAATGGCTCCATGTCTAGTTGGCAGCCGGTGTCAAGTGGAGTGCCCCAGGGGTCGGTCCTGGGGCCGGTTTTGTTCAATATCTTCATAAATGATCTGGAGGATGGTGTGGATTGCACTCTCAGCAAATTTGCGGATGATACTAAACTGGGAGGAGTGGTAGATACGCTGGAGGGCAGGGATAGGATACAGAGGGACCTAGACAAATTGGAGGATTGGGCCAAAAGAAATCTGATGAGGTTCAATAAGGATAAGTGCAGGGTCCTGCACTTAGGACGGAAGAACCCAATGCACAGCTACAGACTAGGGACCGAATGGCTAGGCAGCAGTTCTGCGGAAAAGGACCTAGGGGTGATAGTGGACGAGAAGCTGGATATGAGTCAGCAGTGTGCCCTTGTTGCCAAGAAGGCCAATGCCGTTTTGGGATGTATAAGTAGGAGCATAGCAAGCAGATCGAGGGACGTGATCGTCCCCCTCTATTCGACATTGGTGAGGCCTCATCTGGAGTACTGTGTCCAGTTTTGGGCCCCACACTACAAGAAGGATGTGGGTAAATTGGAGAGAGTCCAGCGAAGGGCAACAAAAATGATTAGGGGTCTGGAACACATGATTTATGAGGAGAGGCTGAGGGAACTGGGATTGTTTAGCCTGCAGAAGAGAAGAATGAGGGGGGATTTGATAGCTGCTTTCAACTACCTGAGAGGTGGTTCCAGAGAGGATGGTTCTAGACTATTCTCAGTGGTAGAATAGGACAGGACAAGGAGTAATGGTCTCAAGTTGCAGTGGGGAAGGTTTAGGTTGGATATTAGGAAAAACTTTTTCAGGAGGGTGGTGAAACACTGGAATGCGTTACCTAGGGAGGTGGTAGAATCTCCTTCCTTAGAAGTTTTTAAGGTCAGGCTTGACAAAGCCCTGGCTGGGATGATTTAGTTGTGGATTGGTCCTGCTTTGAGCAGGGGGTTGGACTAGATGACCTCCTGAGGTCCCTTCCAACCCTGATATTCTATGATTCCAACCGGGAGCAATTTAATAGCTGCAGGGGCGGGAGCCCCAGCGCTGCCCACGCGGGTCAGTGCAGTAAAGCCCCGGCTCTGGAGAGCCCCCAGCGGCGGAGGCAGCACCCGAGCTCCGCGCCACTCAGGGCGCGGCTCTGACCGCGGCTCCCCGAGATCCCGCCGATCACAGGGGGTCGCTCCTGGCCCGTCTGGCCCCGCTGGAAGCTCCGCCCAGCGCGGCTCAGCCACCCCGCGTGAGCCGCCGCCACCACGCTCCAGTCCGGCGGCGGGGCCGGGCACTCAGCACCTCCCAGGCCACGCCCCAATTCGGAAGGGGCGGGGTCTCATGCCCGGCCGTGACGTGGCGATGGCGGAACTTTACGTGAAACCGGGTGAGGGCGCCGGGATGGGCAAGCGGGGACGTTCCGTGACCCTGGCCTGAGGGAGGGGAAGTCCTGGGCCCTCCTGTCTGAGGCGGGGGAGCCCTGGCTCCTCCTCTTGTCATGGGGCCTGGAGGAAGCCCCGGCCCCCCCCATTCCTGTCCTGGGCTGGGGGCGGGAGGAGGGGAAGCCCCGGCCCCCCCCTTCTGTCTTGGTGGGCGGGGGGGGAGGAGGGGGAAGCCCCGCCCCCCCCCTTCTGTCTTGGTGGGCGGGGGGGGAGGAGGGGAAGCCCCGGCCCCCCCCTTCTGTCTTGGTGGGCGGGGGGGGAGGGGGAAGCCCCGGCCCCCCCTTCTGTCTTGGTGGGCGGGGGGGGAGGAGGGGAAGCCCCGGCCCCCCCCTTCTGTCTTGGTGGGCGGGGAGGGGAGGAGGGGAAGCCCCGGGCCCCCCCCTTCTGTCTTGGTGGGCGGGGAGGGGAGGAGGGGAAGCCCCGGGCCCCCCCCTTCTGTCTTGGTGGGCGGGGAGGGGAGGAGGGGAAGCCCCGGGGCCCCCCCCTTCTGTCTTGGTGGGCGGGGGGGGGAGGAGGGGAAGCCCCTGCCCCCCCTTCTGTCTTGGTGGGTGGGGGAGGAGGAGGGGAAACCCTGGGCCCCCCCCCTTCTGTCTTGGCGGGGGGGGAGGAGGGGAAGCCCCGGGCCCCCCCTTCTGTCTTGGTGGGCGGGAGGGGGAGGAGGGGAAGCCCCTGCCCCCCCCCTTCTGTCTTGGTGGGCGGGAGGGGGAGGAGGGGAAGCCCCTGCCCCCCCTTCTGTCTTGGTGGGCGGGAGGGGGAGGAGGGGAAGCCCCCTGCCCCCCTTCTGTTTGGTGGGGGGGGGGGAGGAGGGGAAGCCCCTGTCCCCCCTTCTGTCTTGGTGGGCGGGGGGGGAGGGAGGGGAAGCCCCGGCTCCCCCCCTTGTGTCTTGGGGCCGGGGGGGGAGGGAGGGGGAAGCCCCGGCTCCCCCCCTTGTGTCTTGGGGCCGGGGGGGAGGGAGGGGAAGCCCCCGGCTCCCCCCTTGTGTCTTGGGGCCGGGGGGGGGAGAGGAGGGGGAAGCCCCCGGCTCCCCCCTTGTGTCTTGGGGCCGGGGGGGGGAGAGGAGGGGAAGCCCCGGCTCCCCCCTTGTGTCTTGGGGCCGGTGGGGGGGGAGAGAGGAGGGGAAGTCCCGGCTCCCCCCTTGTGTCTTGGGGTGGGGGGCGGGGAGAGGAGGGGAAGCCCCGGCTCCCCCCTTGTGTCTTGGGGGTGGGGGGGGGGAGAGGAGGGGAAGCCCCGGCTCCCCCCTTGTGTCTTGGGGCTGGGGGGGGGGAGAGGAGGGGAAGCCCCGGCTCCCCCCTTGTGTCTTGGGGCTGGGGGGGGGGGAGAGGAGGGGAAGCCCCGGCTCCCCCCTTGTGTCTTGGGGCCGGGGGGGGGGAGAGGAGGGGAAGCCCTGGCGCTGGCCATTGTGTAGTGCCAGTAATTGGTGCCATTTATGTCTCCCCAGGAAACAAGGAGCGCGGCTGGAACGATCCCCCTCAGTTTTCCTATGGGCTGCAGCTCCAGTGTAGTGGCCCGAAGCGCACTCCCCTCGCACACAGGGTCCCTGGCCTGGCCCATGGAGCCCCCCAAGGTTAGAATTGCCCCATACATTGCCCTGCAGCCGGTGGGCCCATGCTGGGGGTGGCAAAGCCCATCAGGGATGCTGAGTTAAGCCCAGTCTCTAGCTCAAAGTCCCCTTCAGAGGGCTCTCTGCAGAGGATTTCCCCCTTCTGTGCCCCCATAAGCACCGGTGTGGGGAATCCGTGGTAGCCTGCCCCTCTCCTCTGAGGCCTCAGGCTAAGGCTCTTGGGCTCGTCACTGTCTCATGCTTTGCTGTAGCTCCTGTGGGACCTGCCTGTCTAGGGTCATGCAGATGTCACACTAACAGACCCCGGTGGGCAGGATCGAACTGGGGAGCTCTGGAGCTTAGTGCATGAGCCTCTACAGCAGGGGTGGGCAAACTTTTTGGTCCGAGGGCTACATCTGGGTATGGAAATTGTATGATGGACCATGAATGCTCATGAAATTGGGGTTGGGGTACAGGAGGGGATGAAGGCTCTGGCGGGGGGTGTGGGCTCTGGGGTGGTGCCAGAAATGAGGAGTTCAGGGTATGGGAAGGGGCTCCAGGCTGGGGCAGGGGGTTGGGGTGTAGGTAGGGGGGTTCCAGGTGGGGGTTCAGGCTCTGGGGTGGGGCTGGGGGTGAGGGGTTTGCGGTCCAGGAGGGTGCTTCGGGTTGGGATTGAGGGGTTTGGAGGGTGATCAGGGCAGGGGGTTGGGACCTGGCAGGGGGCAGGCTCTGGGCGGCGCTTACCTCAAGCAGCTCCTGGAAGCAGTGACATGTACCCCCTCCAGCTCCTACATGAAGGTGTGACCAGGTGGCTCTAGTCTGTGCGCTGCCCTGTCTGTAGGCACCGTCCCTGCAGCTCCCATTGGTCGCATTTCCTGGCCAATGGGAGCTGCAGGGGCGGTGCTTGAGGCGGGGGCAGTGCATGGAGCCCCCTGACTACCCCTAAACGTAGAAGCCGGAGGTGGGACATACTGCTACTTCTGGGACCTGCGGCATGTGCGCCCAGAGCAGCTCCCAACCCCGCTCCCTGGCTGGAGTGCAGGAGCAGGGAAAGCCCCAGATGTGGCCCACGGGCTGTAGTTTGCCCACCCCTGCTCTACAGCATGAGCTAAAATCCAGCTGGCTGTTAGCTCAGGCTGTAGAGCAGGCTCATTTTATCTCTCTTTAAGTGGTCTCGGTGCCACTAGATGGGACAGAGCACCACACCCAGAAGGTGTGTGGGTTACACAGAGACCAACCAGCACCTGAGGGAGGCTTTGGGGAAAACAAACAATCCTTTGCGCCCTGGATTTTGTTTCAACTCAGCTGTCAGTCATGTTATCTTCTGTACGTGGCAGCATGAGCCAGTGCTTACGGCTCAAGTCCCAGTCCTGTGCCTTAGGGTGTAGCCTGGTCTTACTTGTGTGTGGTGTGACCACTTCCCCCAGCCTCTGCAGCAGGGGTGGGCAAACTTCTTGGTCTGAGGGCCAAATCTGGGTATGGAAATTGTATGGTGTGCCATGAATGCTCATGAAATTGGGGTTGGGGTGCAGGAGGGGGTGATGGCTCTGGGGTGGGTCAGAAATGAGGAGTTCAGGGTATGGGAGGGGGCTCCAGGTTGGGGCAGGGGGTTGGGGTGTTCCAGCTGAGGGTTCAGGCTCTGGGGTGGGGCTGGGGATGAGGGCTTCCCTCCTATCCACTGGGGATAATGAGAGGTGGCTGCAGCATAATTCATTTGCTTTGAGAGCTGCAGACAGTGCTACTGATGTGGGTGGGTAATTCATCCTTCTAGGAAGGAATGCCTCAGTAGATTTTGCTGCCCAAATCCAGCAGGAGGCCCAACCCCAGCCTGGGCACTCATTACCTCCTTTCCCCTCTGGCTAACAGGCAACCCTCTAGCTTTGCTGGGTGACTTAGCATTTACAGGTATTTCCCTGAGGTCAGTTCTGCTCATGCCCTCCCAGTGAGGGACAGATTCACTCTGCCACCCCAAGGACAAGTTTGGGGAAGCGGGCACTTTATGCTGCCCTGCCCTCCCCTCATCTGCAGAGAAGGGAGGTGCTCGCTGTAATGTGACCACCTGCTTCTCAGAAGCTGGGCTGAGACCCCAACCCATGCCATGTAGGGCACCAGAGCAGTTATCACGTGAAAATGCCTGCTAGTCCCTGCTGACCTGGACAGATCTCAGCTGGGGCCCTGAAGCTGGCAGGTCCATTCCCAGTGCCCTGAGACATCCAGCCCCCTGGTACGGCCAGTAGTACAAACAGTGGAAGGGGTTCTTCTGAACTGCAGCTCTGGGGATGTCTGCACTGTAGGAAAAAACCAATGGCACTGAGTCTGAGCCCAGGTCAACTGACTCAGGCTCGTAGTGTGAGAGGCTAATAACAGCAGTGTAGACATTCCCACTTGGGCTGGAGCCTCTACGCTGTTATTAGCCCCACGCTGACGCAGGCTCTGACACTGGCTGCTGTGGGGTTTTCTTTGCAGTGTAGACGTACCCTCTGCTAACTAGGCTGGCTTGGCTTGTTGCGCTGGGCACAGTGAGTCCAGTGTTCTGCTCTGAATGCTTTCCACCTCAGGACGCCAGAGCTTGGAGCACAGCACCCTCACACGGTGCTTTGGGTGGCTTGGACTGGACTATTACAGTGGCGGTTGACTCCATAATGTTTGTGTTTTCAGCCCCTACTCCAGTGAATTCTGCTCCTGCAGTGCTGCCAGTAGCCTTACCCTCAAAACCCGTGGGGCCGCCCCCTCTTGCTGTGGTCAGCCCTGCTCTGAGGCCGGACACCGTGAAGCAGGTTGCGAGCCTGGCTAAGGAGGAGTGCGAGGTGAATGTAGAGGATGTTCTAGCCCCTCTGAATGAGACTCTGAGCATGTGCAGGAATGCCGTGCAGGTGAGGACTGCTGCTGTGCCCAGTGGCATTGCCAGTGACTCTTTCCACAAAAACGAGGAGTTCGGTGGCACCTTAAAGACTAACAGATTTATTTGGGCATAAGCTTTCATGGGTAAAACACCCACTTCTTCAGATGCATGGAATGAAAATTACAGATGCAGGCATAAATATGTATTGGCACATGAAGAGAAGGGAGTTACCTTACAAGTGAAGAACCAATGTTGAAGGCCAATTCAGTGAGGGTGGATGTGGTCCACGCCCAATAATTGAGGAGAAGGGGTCAATACCAAGAGAGGGAAAATTGCTTTTGTAATGAGCCAGCCACTCCCAGTTCCTATTCAAGCCCAGATTGATGGTGTTAAGTTTGCAAATGATCTGCAGTTTCCTCTTTCCACAGACACAGATGTCGAGCCCTGTACCCTGCTCTCTCTGCTGCTGATTGTCCTCCTCAGGGTGTGTGCAGCCAGGGAAGGGCCCATTGAATGGGGGTGTTTGTTCTCTGTGGCATTACAGGGGCCCGCCATTCCCAAGTTGTCCCTCTGCACCCTGCTGCCTGAGAGGAGGATGTGAAGGCTCAGCTCGCTGGGTGCAGGTGGTTCTGACGGGTCCCCTTCTCAGAGCTCTTCTCTACTTTAGCGCTAGCAGGGGGTGTGTGGTGGGGGCTCTGGCTCAAGGCTTTCTGGTGGCAGTTCTTCACTAAGGCTCCTCTCTGGACTTCCAGAAACAGGTTTGTGATGACATCAGCAGACGCCTCGCTGTGTTTCGGGAGCTGTGGCTCCAGGGAAAGCTGTCTGCCCCTGTGAGGAAGAGGATGAATATCCTGGTTCAGGGTGAGAGGGGCAAAGGGGCGCCAGGGAGCTGTGACCCACTCTAGGGAGGGGGCCAACTTTGCATCTCCCAGGGGTTCTGCACTGCGGCCTACATGCATTCCTTTCCTGGCTCCCCATCTCCTCTCAGCACTCAGCGCTGCTTCCATGTCCCTCACCTGTCAGCATGAGGCCCATTTGTGCCCTGTCATGTCCCCTCTGTCCGACTGCAGTGCTCCCATCCCTGTGGTATCTAGGCACATCTCTTCTCCCAGGTGGAATCCCAGTGGGTCCAGCGGCTGTGGATGGAGCTCATACTCAGCTCAGAGCCTTTTTTACTCCCCCCATCCACCTGAGAGGTTCATGGGCCACTAACAGGGGCTGCTCTCTCCTTGCCTCCTAGAGCTCCAGCGGCGGCACTGGGATGTGGCTGATGAAATCCATCGCTCGCTCATGGTGGACCATGTCAATGAAGTCAGTCAATGGCTGGTGGGAATCAAACGGTTAATTGCTGAGGCAAGGAACTTGCCTCCTAGAGACTTGGTTGCAAATGATGAGCAGGGAGCTGGAGCTCAGCCAGCCAAAGAGGCCCTGTGAGCCATGGCAAAGCTGGGGGGAACTGAACTGCCTCCAGGCCCCACTGTGTCCCCCAGAGGTGATGGAGCTCTTGGCCACTAGGAGCATTTCTCATCGCTGTAGCGGGAAAACAGCGAGACTCCTCCATCCCTGAGGGGTTTCTGGCTTCTCCCGTGTCTCCCTGTCCTGCCTCTGCGTGATCCTGATTCAGGATTGGCTCCGCACCAAGGAGAGGCTTTCTTACCACCAATCGATCTCGGGGCAACTTGCTGCATGATACTGAATTAAAATTACTGTTCCAGTGTCCCATGCCTGTGTGCAAGCCCAGTGCCAGCCCTCATCTGGAACCTGCTGTGAGCAGGCTCCAGGGCAGAACAAGACAGGGGAGAGAGCTGCAGCTGGTGTGGACATGTGATAGATAGTGCTGTTCTTTCCCAGGTGCGTCAGGTGTGGGGATGATGGAGCCCTGGGCTGTAATGACAGGTCAGTCAGATGCTGGGCGTGGAGATCAGCGCTCAGCCCTTCCCATGCCCAGAAGAGGAGCTGGATGATGTTTTTTGGCCTAAGATTGATCAAAAATGCAGTTTTTGTCAACCCAAACAAGATTCCTTCCCCCCAGCCCAGTAGTTAGGGCATCAGCTGGGCTGTAAGAGACCCAAGTTCAAATCCCTGCTCTGGAAAAGACCCAAAACAGTCTTTTTTAATTCACAGCAAATTCTGAAGTGTCAGTATTGGCTCAACCCAAACCCAATGTTTTTGAACCAGCAATGCACTGACAATTCTGTTACTCGCCCAGCCCTGGTTGCAGTACACTTCCCCTGGCACCAGTCACCTTTGTGCCCAGGGGAGTTGCAGAAAGTTTGGGGCAGGCCTGGCCCTATTTCCCCTTTAGAACATAAGAACAGCCACAGTGGGTCAGCCAAGGGTTCAGTATCCTGTCTTCTGACAGTGGCCAATGCCAGATGCTTCAGGGAGAATGAACAGAATAAGGCAGTTATCTAGTGATCCATCCCCTGTTGTCTACTCCCAGGATCTGGCAGTCAGAGGTTTAGGGACTCTCAGACAGGGGTTGCATCCCTGACCATCCTGGCTAATAGCCATTGATGGCCCTATCCTCCAGGAACGTAGCTAATTCTTTTTGAACCCAGTTACATTTGGCCTTCACAGCATTCCCTGGCTACAAGTGCCACAGGTTGACTGTGTGTTGTGCAAAGTGAAGGGGTAAACAACACTTCCTTATTTACTTTCTCCACACCAGTCATGATTTTATAGACATCTATCATATCCCCCGTTGTATCTTTTTTAAGATGAAATGTCCCAATCTTACTAATCTCGCCTCATACAAAAACTGTTCTATACCCCTAATAATTTTGTTGCCCTTCTCTGTACGTTTTCCAATTTTAATATATCCTTTTTAACATGGGGCAACCAGATCTGCATGCAATATTCAAGATGTGGGCGTACTATGGATTTATAGAGGGGCATTATATTTTCTGTCTTATTATCTATCTCATTTTTAATGGCTCCTAACAGTCTGTTTGAAAACATCCACTCCATATGCAGTGGCAGTCAAAAAAGCAGAGAACTATCTACAATGACTCCCAAGATCTTTCTCTTGAATGGAAATAGCTAATCTAGACCAGTAGTTTTCAAACTGTGGGTTGCGACCCAGGTCAGCACTGCCAACCGGGCCATTAAAAGTCCCGTCGGCGGTGCTGCCTGGCTAAGGCAGGCTAGTCCCTACCTGTTCTGACACCACGCTGCTCCCTGGAAGCAGTCAGCAGCAGGTCTGACTCCTAGGCTGGGGGGCCATGGAGCTCCACACTCCCATTGGCTGCGAATAGACCAATGGAAGCCTGGGGGTGTGGGGGGGAAGGCAGTTCCTGTGGGTGAGAACCATGTGGAGCTGATTGCACACCTCTGCCTAGGAGCTGGACCTGCTGCTGTCCTTAGCCCCTGCCCTGCCACACCATGCCACTGACTGGGAACCACCTGAGGTAACCCACACCCAAATCCCCTGCCCTGAGCCCCCCCCAAACCTGGAGCCCCTTCCTGCACCCCAAACCCCTCATCCCTGGCCCCACCCAAGAGCCTGCACCCCCTGCCCCAGCCCAGAGCCCCCTCTCACACCCTGAACCCCTCATTCCCAGCTCCACCCTCCACTCCAACCCTCTGTCCCAAATCCCTCGTCACCAGCTCTGCTGGGTCGTGGGCATCAACAATTTTCTTCAGCTGGGTTGCCAGAAAAGAAGTTTGAAAATCACTGATCTAGACACCACCATTTTATATGTATAGTTGGGATTATGTTTACCAATGTGCATTACTATGCATTTATCAACATTGAATTTCATCTGCCATTTTGTTGTCCTGTCACCCAGTTTTGTGAGATTCCCTTTGTAGCTCTTCACAGTCTCCCTGGGACTTAATGATCTTTAGAAGTAAGGTGTGTCTCCATGCATTGCAATTGCAGCATGTTCTCCAGCATTCCCTTCTGCCAGCCCCACACTCTGCAGGACTAGTCCTGCCCTAGACAGTCAACGTGCCTTTCCTAGAAACCTGCCCCTCACTGACCAGCTCATGCTTTTAGCGCCTGGGGTTCAAAACCAGCATTCGCCCCAGTCACTATCAAGCACCTGCCACCTTTCCTCACTGTAGCTCTTCTCCCTCCTCTTGTACCTGAATCTGCAGTTGGGCTCAATTGCTGCTGCCCCCAATCGGTGTGGCAGGGGCAAGTGTGTGTGTGTGTGTATAAAAAGTCAAAGCACCGGGCTTGGATCCTGTCACAGCAGCAGGAAAACATATCCAGCTCTGCAGGGGCCGGATGGCTGCTTGCCCTACCGGTGCAGTAGGGTGAGCAGCACAATGAGCTGGACTGGCTGCCCTTGGCATCACCCCAGGGCCTGCCATTAGCTGGCCCTTCCCTCCCAGCCCACAAGGGGGTCTAGGCCAGGCCCTGCCTCAGTTACCAACCAGCTCTGAGTTTGGGAAGGCAGCTTTGCTTTTTCAGCTGGCGAACTGCAGCTCCCTCACGTCATCAGTCCCCTCCAGGAGGTGACCTAGCACTGCCCTCTTGTGGACATTAAGGGACATGCATCAGCAAGGCTGCCACATTGACAGCAACCAGCACTAAGGAATCCAGCTGGTTTCTCTGAGCACAGAGACAATCTCACTCCAAACACCTGCTCAATCCCACACTGTCCTGGCCCAGGCTGTGGGACAGGAATTGCCCCCTGAGCCTCTGTGTAACACAGTCACTGCAGCTCAGCAAGGGCCCTTGGGGGAGGGATAGCTCAGTGGTTTGAGCATTGGCCTGCTAAACCCAAGGTTGTGAGTTCAATCCTTGAGGGGGCCATTTAGGGGGTTCTGAGGCAAAATTGGGGATTGGTCCTGCTTTGAGCAGGGGGTTGGACTAGATGACCTCCTGAGGTCCCTTCCAACTCTGATATTCTATGGTTCAGGCCCTGTCAGTACAAGGGGAGAGAGGCTAACAACTCCCTTGCACTCTAAAGGGGACAGCGAGACAATGGCATGGGCTAGCCAGAGGCATCAAAACTCCCTCACAGCCAGGAGCAGTGCTGGCTGGGGCATGAAGTCTGGGCATTCGGTCCTCAGCCCCTCATCTCCTGGAACCTGGGCGGCCAGACAGATCCGTGGCTGGCATCATTCAGGAGTACGCTGTGACTCCCTGCACTACAAGTTTCGCAGGAGAGATATTCCAGGAGCTGAAGGCAGGTGCAGAGGGAGATTTGGGGTGGGCTAACAGTCCGTAGATTGATATGTCTACAGGCTGTTCCCTCTCACCCAGGACCGAGTGCCATGGATACAGGCAGGGTTTGCCAGCAGCTCCTGGAACTCATTGAGTCCTGGAGCACTTTCTCCCACAGTGGATTCTGGCACCAGCCTGGGCTCATGGCTAGTAGCTCCCAGCTGGTGGGCCAGTGCAGGTTTGTAATTGCTGCTGCAGCTGTTAGAGGAGACAGTGGAGAAAGCCTTTTCTCCCTGTCCTACTCTAAGCAAGCACCGGGGTCTCTGGGCATACAGCTCATGGAGCTCAGATTGCACCCTCCTAGGGCAGTTGTCATGACAGCCAGCCCCAGTGCTGCAACCACTCCTGGAGAGGCTGAGAGCCGTGAGACACAATTGGGGCTGCTTGGCCCATCACCCCTCCCCCCCCACACTCTGGGGAGGACACAGCTGACCCTGGCCTGAGGGGTTCTCCAACAGCTGATTACGCTGAAGAGCCTGGTTCTGTGCGAAGCTACAAATAAGCAGGAGCCTGGAATCAGTCTCCTCCTGACTGGACTCAAGCCAAGGAAAGCTCCCCCTTTCCCCAGGCACCATCCAGTTTGCACCGCAGCTTTTAACCAAGCCGGATGGGCTCCCCTGACTGCTGGGGACACAGGCCCCCTTCTCCCGGTACCCCTCGACCAGTTCTAACCAAAGGCTCAGATCACCTGCATCTCTCACTCCTCTGGAGGTTAGGGAGGGCCAGTGACACCTGAACACTAGCTCCCCCCAGCTCCAGCTACAAGGGAAAGGGCCATGCGGCTGAGGCTCTACCCATGGACTTGGCAGGCTCTTGCCTAGCCCCGGCTGTGGGTTGGGAGTGAAGCACAGAAGACGCGCAGGGCGGAAGGGGATACAGGAAGGTTGTTTATTGCACAGCCTCAGAGCGAGCCCATGGCGTAGCCACTAGACACGCTCAGCGCAGTGAGCCCAGCCATGCACCGCAGGGTTGGGGGACAGAGCAGCCGCTCATGCCAGCCCCCCACACCAGGGCTTCATTTCAGTAAAAAAAACTGAGAACAAATGCAACTGCAGAGAAACAGTGTTAAAACAGCGCCACATCCATAGGCAGCAGCCGCGCCAGGGCCTCGCTCACCTCTGGGTCTTCAGGGAGGGAAAGGAGGCAGGAGCCCCAGGAAAGCAGCTTGCCGCCAGCTGGCCGCATCGCTGGGAGCTCAGATATCCATGGCAAACTGATCGTCATCTGGGCAGGAGAAAGAAACAAGGTCTGCGTTAGGACGGCACGTGGCAAGGGGGGGCTCTGCAGGGATCACTGTGGGGACATGATGCTGTTAACCAGGAGATCAGCTACTGCCAATAGCAGCAGCATGGACGGGTGGATCAGAGCGAGGATCTGTCTTCCCCCAGCTGCGTTCCTGGGTCACGGCTCTGCACAGCTGACCTGCATTGGCCTCCAGATGTGGCCTCCCATCTCCCCTCCCCTCAGCCTGTTCCGGCTGCCAGCAATGGAGGAGTCCCAGGGTTGCCATTGCTGCAGTCTGAATTGACAGTGTGTGGGGTCCATGTGATGGGGTGGCTCAAGGGGAGCAGAGCCCCGGGGAGAGCAGCTGCAACTCCCTGGGGAAGAAGGGGAGGGGGCAGAGACAGCAATTTGCAGTTCCCCTCCCATCCACAAGGGGTGCTCAATGCAGATGGTCACCCACCCAATCGGAGCAGAGTTCCTGAGGGGAGTAAACTGTTTCCAGCCCTGCCATGCAGCTGCAGGAGGCAGCTGTGGTCCTGGCACTGATGCCCGCTGAGCCCAGTGGCAGCCCAAAGAGGGAGAGGCCAGTGGCTCCACGCACCCAGGACTGGTCTCCATCCCCTGGCATGGGGAACGAGCAGAGGATGGCAGGCGGGGGCTTGGCCTCCTCACTGCCCCCTGGACAGGACACGGACCAGCAGCAGAGGCAGATGGAACCAGACAACCTCTCCCCATCCCAGTGCTGGAAGGGGATGCTGCTCCCCCAGGGTGGGAGCTGCATTACTCCCCGCTCCCTCCACTTCAAGTCCTGCTTCAGGTGCCTTGAAACAGGCAGGACAAAGTCACTTGTGATGCACTAGGGGAGCCCCAAGGGGGCAGCCCTTCTGCTCTGGGTTCTCAGGCCCCAAGCGCTGCAGCAGGAGCGAAGGTGACGGGCGGTGTTCCGGGACTAGGGGTTGGGTACATGCGTTTTACCTGGGACCTCTTCCTCGGTCTCATTTTGTTCCTTAAGATCCTCCAGCTTGGAGTGCGCCGCGTGGGGGGGAGAGGTGATGCCGGGGATGTGAGGGAGGTAGCAGGGGGGCGTCCTGGCAACGGGCGAGTTCTTACACTCCAGCAGGAATTTACGGTCATAGATTATCCTGGTACCTGTCAAACCCAGCAGGCAAATCAGCCCCCGGCACTCAGGTGCCCTCTTCCAAGAGACCTGCCCACCACAGTCTGCCCCGCAGGGAGCTCGGAAGTCTCTGCCAACCCCTCTCCAAGCCTGGAGCAGGCAAGATCAAGCCCAGACTTGTGCCAGCATCTCCTGTGTTGCTGAGCCATGTGACACCACGGCTGTCAGCCCAGGCAGAGCTGCTACTAGTAATTAACATTAATTAGAACATAAGAGCAGCGATACCGGGCCAGATCATGGTCCGCCTTGCCCAGTATCCTGCCTCTGACAGTGGCCCATACCAGAGCTTCAGGAGGAGTGTACAGAACAGGGCAATTATGGAGCAATCCACCCCAGCTTCTGGCAGTCAAAGGTTTAGGGTCACCTCAAGCACGGGGCTGTCTCCCTGACCAGATTGGTAATAGCAACTGATGGAGCCATCCTCCAGGAACTAATCCAGTTCTGTTTTGAACCTAGTTATAGTTTTGGCCTTCACAACATCCCCTGGCAATGAGTTCCACAGGTTAGTTGTGCCTTCTGTGAAGAAGTACTGCTCTTGTTTGCATTAAACCTGCTGCCTATTAATTTCATTGTGTAATCCCTACTTTCTGTATTGTGTGAAGAAGTAAATAACACTTCCCCATTCACTTCTCCCACCATTCCTGGTTTTATAGAGCTCTATCATATCCCCCTTAATTGTCTCTTTTTTAAGTCAAACAGCCCTAATCTTCTTAGGTTTCAGAGTAGCAGCTGTGTTAGTCTGTATCCGCAAAAAGAAAAGGACGACGTGTGGCACCTTAGAGACTAACAAATTTATCTGAGCATAAGTTTTCGTGAGCTACAGCTCACTTCATCAGATGCATTCAGTGGACAATGCAGTGCGGAGATTTATATACACAGAGAACATGAAACAATGGGTGTTACCATACACACTGTAAGGAGAGTGATCAGGTAAGGTGAGCTATTACCAGCAGAACGGGGCGTTCCATCTGGACCCATGGAAAAGAAGCCCTTGAGGAATTCCACCATGATTTCAACAATTTCCAACCCACCATCAACCTCAGCCTGGACCAGTCCACACAAGAGATCCACTTCCTGGACACAACGGTGCTAATAAGCAATGGTCACATAACCACCACCCTATACCGGAAACCTACTGACTTCTATGCCTACCTACATGCCTCCAGCTTTCATCCAGACCACACCACACGATCCATTGTCCACAACCAAGCTCTACGATACAACCGCATTTGCTCCAACCCCTCAGACAGAGACAAATACCTACAAGAACTCTATCAAGCATTCTTACAACTACAATACCCACCTGCTGAAGTGAAGAAATAGATTGACAGAGCCAGAAGAGTACCCAGAAGTTACCTACTACAGGACAGGCCCAACAAAGAAAATAACAGAACGCCACTAGCCATCACCTTCAGCCCACAACTAAAACCTCTCCAGCGCATCATCAAGGATCTACAACCTATCCTGAAGGACGACTCATCACTCTCACAAATCTTGGGAGACAGGCCAGTCCTTGCCTACAGACAGCCCCCCAACCTGAAGCAAATACTCACCAGCAACCACACACCACACCACAGAACCACTAACCCAGGAACCACTCCTTGCAACAAAGCCCCTTGCTAACTGTGTCCACGTATCTATTCAGGAGACACCATCATAGGGCCTAATCACATCAGCCACACTATCAGAGGCTCATTCACCTGCACATCTACCAATGTGATATATGCCATCATGTGCCAGCAATGCCCTTCTACCATGTACACTGGTCAAACTGGACAGTCTCTACGTAAAAGAATAAATGGACACAAATCAGACATCAAGAATTATAACATTCAAAAACCAGTCAGAGAACACTTCAATCTCTTTGGTCACTCGATTACAGACCTAAGAGTGGCGATTCTTCAACAAAAAAACTTCAAAACCAGACTCCAATGAGAGACTGCTGAATTGCAATTGAATTGGAATTAATTTGCAAACTGGATACAATTAACTTAGGCTTGAATAAAAACTGGGAGTGGATGGGTCACTACACAAAGTAAAACTATTTCCCTATGTTTATCCCTCTTCCCCGCCCCCCCTCCCCCGGCTCTCCTACTGGTAATAGCTCACTTTACCTGATCACTCTCCTTACAGTGTGGATGGTAACACCCATTGTTTCATGTTCTCTGTGCATATATATCTCCCCACTTGTATTTTCCACTGAATGCATCCGATGAAGTGAGCTGTAGCTCATGAAAGCTTATGCTCAAATAAATTTGTTAGTCTCTAAGATGCCACAAGTACTCCTTTTCTAATCTTCTTAGTTGCTCCTTCTATTGAAGTCATTCCATACCCGTCATCATCCTTTTTGCCCTTCTCTAACCTTTTCCAGTTCCACTCTATTCTTTTTGAGCTGGGGCAACCAGACCTGGATGCAGCGTTCGAAGTGTGGGCAGACCATCGGTTTATATAGTGGTATTATGAACGTTCCTAACTTTTTGTTAGGCTTTTTGGCCCCTGATATGCACTGAGCGGAAGTTTTCAGAAAATGATCTATGGTGACTCCAGATCTTTTTCTTGGGTCGTAACAACTAATTCAAACCTCCTCATTGTGTATGTGTCTCATGAGGGATTATGTGACATTTATTTGGCTCCTTTCAACGTGAAGGACCCCAGAGCATTCCAGATACAAGGATCACTGTAGCCAGCACTGAATGCAGCTGTCTCTGGGGTGTGTCACAGCAGCTGGTTAAAACCACCCAGCAAAATTACACAACAGTTTAGGGCTTCAAGGATCCCAATGGAAATTGTAGTGGGAAATTAGGGAGGCAGAATGGGGCTGGGTCAAGCTACCATTCCACAGGGGGCTTTTCTGTTGCAGCCTTTTTACTATCCTCACCCCCAACCTTTCCCATTGGTGCTACTCCTGGGTCAGTTCTGCCAAAAGGTGTTACTTGCCAGCGGCGTTTTCACTGCCACCTGGTGCTGCTCTGAGCGTGGTTAGATGACCTGGTGGTTAAATGGCAGTGGCTGGTCTGTGCTAGCACCAGCGGAGCTGGGCCAGCAGTAGCAGGCTGGGGTAGATGCAGCCCTTGAGCACCAGGGGATCTGTAGTCACTGTATGCAGACAGGACGCAGGTTTTACATCTCCCGCAAGGGATGGGGCCTTCAGCAGCACAGCGCCCCCTAGCATCAGCCTGGGGTGCCAATTGTCCAGGACAGAGTGGAAGTGCTGTCAGCTGTTCCCCAAATCCATTGCCAGCACCACTCCCAATTTCCCAGATGTTTCCCATCCCGACCCTGACCCTGCTGAGACCAGCCCCAGGCAGCCTGCCTGCATGCAGCAGCTGTGTTTATGGGACCTACCCACACGTCACACAGCTTCACCTGCCAGCCCCCTCTAGCACAGGAGGGGATCCGGGTGAGCTCTGGGAGGGCACAAGAGATTCTGCTTGAATAGGGCAGTGCTGCCAGGGATCCCTTCCTCCCAGCTGGCAACACAAGCTCACCCAGCCACGTGACCCTTCAGCCACCAACTGCTGACACCCAGCCACTCTCCCTCCTCCCCCTAGTAATCCAGCCTAGCAACAGGTGGCAGGGAGAATGCTCCAGGTAACACAGGCTCTGCAAGGGGGAGGGAACAGCAGAGCAGCGGCTGGCGGGGAGAGCCCAGAAATCCCGGCACTGCTGAGCACAGGCTGCAGCCTTTGGAGCAGAGCAAACATATCAGGTAACCCAGTGCAGGCAGCTCGGAGCAGCTGACCTCGACCTCGGTGCCAGCACCTGCTGCAGCTCCCACCCCTTCTGAGATAAGACTTATCATGAGCCAGCGCTGGCAGGATGGACTCGTGCAGTTTAACTGAAAGGCTCCCTGCATGTGGATAAAGGCATGCAGCCCAGCGGGCCAAGGGACGCGCCAGACACAAGGACAAGTGTGGACGGCTTTCTAAAAATAGAGACATGCTGGTGAGGCCAGTAGGGTCACTTTCACCAGAGTCCCAGAGAGCCCCGAGGCAGGAGTCTGCCTTGCCCACAGACACATCTGGCAGAGCACCCCTCCCAGCGGGCACAGCCCAGCTCCTACCCACACCCCACCCAGATCTTGTCTGAGGATTTTGTCCTGCTGCTTATCAGACGGGTACCTAAGAGTCTCCCACGACAGAGCAACAACAGCAAAAACCCCACTCGGCTCCCTGGAGCTTCTGGCTCTTCTCCCTTTTCAGGGTCTGAGCAGTGCTGCTCAGGGGAAGGATTTCAGAGGGGTGGTGTGGGGCTGTGAGGGTCCCTGTGTTTAGGTGGCAAAGCTCCATCACATCGGAAGGTTTTGCAGAGGATGCTCACACTGTGGCAGCTCCCCAGTGACAGAATCAGGGACCCACTCACTGACTCAGAGGTCACTCTGCAATAGCAACTATGAAACGGGAGCCAACAGTCCCCCAGCACCAATGGGTGACATGCGGTCATTCATTCACATTACTGAGGCTGCCTGAGAGCACACCAGTCTCCCCCGCTGCAGCTTGCTCTGAAGGAAACACCTTTGGCCAAGAGCACAGCAGCAAAAGAATCTCAGACCCTCCGCTCCCAGAGCTTGTGTCTACACATGGAGCCACTGGGCTAACCTCAACAGGAACGAAACCCTCTTACTCCAACACCCACACAGGGAGGTACTCAGGAACGTTCCTTACTAGGTCCATGTGTGGACAAACCAGGGAGAAGGGGGAAAACCTGGAGGCAAGGATGCTCTGGCCTGTTTGAGGAGCTAGGCCATGCAGAGTGCAGCAGGGACTGCACCTGCGGAATGTTCTAGATCAGTGATTCTCAAGCTATTTACCATTGTGTCCCCACATGTATGGCCCTGAGGAGGTCACATGGGCTGCAGCTGTGCGCTGACTGGGCCCCGCAGGTTGCTCTAGATCATCTCTGTCCAAACTCACCCTTCCAACTTTGAATTTAAATCCCTTGTGCTGCCTCTACCCCAAGCTTTTCCTTAAACTCTCCTAGCTGGGTCCTAGCCCCATTGGCAGGGCTAGTGAGGACAGGACACTGGTGTTTTAACCACCGCATCAGCTAACCCTGCTCAGAGCAGAGTTTGATAACAGTCATAAAGTTGCTGGCAGCAGCCCAGCCCCTGCCTGCCCTGAAGCTCCCCCTGCTACAACAACAGAGGGTGTAGCAGGAAGAAGTCCTGCAGGACAGAGCCCTAGCATCTGAGTAGTGCAAGTAACAGCCCTGCTTTGGAAATGTGTCCACCGTAATGTTACAAATCTAACAACCTAGGAGGCAACAAGGGAACCCTTCTGGTTCTCAGGACCAGGGGCTCCCCGGGCCCCGCACAGCTGCAGAGGTGTGGCCCCGACCGAGTTTTCAGGAAGCCTTTGTTTGGTGTCTCTCCTCACAGGCTCCTGTGCATTCACGTGGCATCGATGCAGGGTTTGCAACTCCCAAGCGGGGTATGCGAAGCTCAGCCCGCGGCCCAGCCCATCACTTCCACAGCCCTTGTTATTATGAGGTGTACTGTGGGAGCCACACAGCCCCCCTGGGCCTTGGCCGCTCCATGCAGGTGGTCAAGGAATCGGGCAGTTTTGGATTAAACACCGTGCAGAGCCTGGTACCTCTTATGCTAACTCCCTTGCACCCCCCCGGGGGCGCCTCTTCCTCCCTGGCATGAGCCATGTGGGGCGGGGGCCAAATCCTTTGGGTCGCAGAGAAAAACCGAGATCCCGTCCAGGCGAAGGCGAAACCCACTCAAACCTTCCTGGGGCCCAGCCAGCCAAGGGCAATTCCAGCTCGAAGAGGCTTTTCGGACACGGGGGACGTGTGAAGGGGCTTGAGTCGCCCCGATCCGCTCCGAGTGCGCAGCGCCGGGCGCCCCAGCGAGCTCAGCCCAGGTGCGGCCGGACGGGTCCCCCCGCCGTTACAGAACCGGGTCTGAGTCGCTGGACTGTGCCCTCCCCCCCCAAACCGGAGAGGCTCGGGGCAGCGGCCGGAGATCGGGGCAGCCCCATTCGCCCTCCCGCGGGAACGGGGGCACCGGACCCGCTGCCTAGGAGCCCGGTGGGACACGGGAGGCCGCTCCCCAGGGATCCAGGAAGGCCCGGGCCGTCTCTGCGCGGGGGAGTCAGGGTTGCAGCCGCAACAGGGGGCACTGGGCGGAGGTTCACCCTGGACCGGCTGCAGGCAGAGGCTGGGGTGCTGCTGAGCCCAGGGGCTGCTCGGGGAGCGGGCCCTGCTGCGGCCCGGCCTTACCCCCAGGGGTGGTGGAGTAGAGGGTCCCGCCGGGGGTGCAGCTGTAGCCGTCTGGGGAGCCCTGGTCTCGGCCGCCCGGAATGGGGCAGGAGCTCGTGGTGCTCGCAGCGGCCATGGAGCCCGATCGGTATCCGCGGGGCACAGCGACACGTGCAGGCCCGGGGCGGGGCCAGGCGGGGTGGGGTTCTTCCCTCCCCGAGGCAGGCGGGGCTGCTTCTTCCCCGAGGCAAGCAAGCAGGTCAGAGCCCGGCCAGCGCACAGGCTCCTGCCCAGCCTGGGGACGGGGCTGTGGCGGGGCGCTGGACCTAGCCTGGGTCTGACCCGGGATCCCTGCTGCTTACGTGGAGCAAACAGGCGGCCCCGCGTTAGAAAGGAGCCGAACACTGAGAGGTGCCCATGAATCATCCGAGGAGGTGGGACTCAAACGCCAGCCTCCCCCGCTCCTACCAGCTGGGCTCTCCCCCAGGAAGCGATAAGGTCCCTCCCCGAACCACAGAAACCGGCTGGTGCTTACTAGACCGGAACCAGGGAAACCCATTTGAACATGTTTCTGCAAAGCAGCCGCGGGCATGAGGCTGCCCCCTCCTGCCGGGGTGGGCAGGGCCTCAGAGAGCCTTGGTATCAGGACAGGACATCACTGTTGCTGCTGGCAAACGCCTCTCCACAGGAATCAAGAAGCTAGGGATCGATTAAACTTAAGGAAATATTTCTACCTAGACCCTGGACCCAGTGAGCCCCAGTAAAAAGCCGTCCGCTCCGTGGGGCAGGGCTCTATCTTCGCTCAGCAAGCTACAGGGGAACCGGTTTGCCAGATTCTCCTCCACAAAACCGCTTTAAGCTCCTTCCAGGGGCAAATAAAGACCTCCAGACACAGTCAGTGGCAGATCAACGACACAAGGCCTAGCGGTCCGCTTTGGGAGGAAGACCAATGATTCAGAAATTGAGAGTTCCTAGGGGAAGCAGGCAGTGGTAGAGGAATAAAAAGGTAGGGTCTCCTGGGGATAGCAAAGCTTTGACTCAAGTAGGTCCAGTTTAGGTTTAATCCATCCTGGCCCACACACAAATATGTCAAATTCATGTGTTGAAATCTTAAAAAATTGCAAGGGTGTCATTTCTCTTTGCAGTCTTGGTTTTGCAGGGCCCTGTACAAAGTGCCAGCATGCAGACCCTCAGGCAGCCTTATGCAATCCCCACAGCAGAGCGAGGGTGTGCCTGGGAAACTGGCAGCCAAGCAGGCTGGGATGAGTGTTTTTGTTTTGGCAGTTCAGAGTGCTTGTTCCTCCCTACTTGTGTGTTTTGTGGCAAAAGGCTAGGCACTTCTAGGGCTGCTGTTTTCCCATGGCCAAACAGCATTCTATTACTCCCAGTTCAGAAATAATTCTCAAGCTCCACTGAAGTGAAGTTTTGTCATTGACTTGAATGGAGAGCTGGTATTTCACCCTCAGAAGGCAGACATTTCTGACCCATCTTCCTCTTCCTGTGCTCTATGATCAGGGATGGATTTTCCACCTATGGGAATGACTGGTCTGTCTCCTTGGTCTGGGGGAGGAGGTCTTGGGCAAAGAAAAGTGGAAGGCCTCAGTTCCCAATCCCTGTACATTGTACCATGCTGCTCACAGGGGTGGTGCTATATTGAACATCAATATTACTACTGCACTTTTTTGGGGGGGGGTTCCCCCAAGAGCAATCAGATTTCAAAACACCTTGGGTCTTCTTATAGATTCCCCCACTATTAAACATTGTCCCACTGCCTTGAGTTTATATAAAAATAGCAAAGGGAGTTTAGCTATTAAACTTGTTCTATGTACCACCACATGTTCATGGGACACCAAGTTCTTGGTATCTTTTCCATTGTGGGCCTGATGCAGGCTTCAAGAGCATTAGAATGACCACAGACTGAGACACCATGAAAGATCTCTACTTCAGGGCAACTCCATGACCATCACATTTTATTGACTTCCACTGGGTATCAGTCAGAACATAATTTGCTTCCCAATGTTTTATTGGAGATGTTAATAGTTACATTTGCTAAGAATGTGCAAAGTACAGGTAACTGTACAAATCTGAGTTTTGTTTCACATATTCCTCACTGAATAACTCCATAATCCTGGTTTTGTAGTTTGTCACACCTTTCCTCCCCCAAGTTTATGCAGCATCCAACTTCAAACTATAAGCTCTTCAGAGCAAAGCTTCTTTACTTGTTTCTGGGAAGCATCTAGAGTTCTTTTGGAAGCTCCAATATTCAGGAAGTATTAATACAACAATACAAATTTTTATCCTGTGCAAAAAACTCTGGAACTCGATATATCATATTTTAATTGGGTTAATATGCTATTGTAAACAGAACATCTGCTCTGCTGTAAAGGGGGTAAATTGTTAGGGAAAGAAATAGCATCTACAATGAAATGTGTTCTCGTGTAGGGACATTTATGTTCCATTCTTAAATATTAGTGGAATACCTCAGTATGTTCAAAAGGTTATTGAGATTTGATCATCTACTAGATCTTGGATACTATTTCTGCACTTTATGTTTTCAAAAACATTTAAAAAAGTGACCAGGCAAAAACATGCCACCACATGGTTTGCAAGGAGTGAACTCTCGGCAAATTGTCACTGAATCTTTTCTTCCGGTTGCTGCTTCCTCAGGCTTTTCCAGGAAAAACTGTATTTCTGCATATAGGGAATTGGCAGGAGGGGTGGCAAGATGGGGGAAGTCTGTCTATATTCAGACTTTTGCCTTTGAGACTGTAAAAAAGTGGTCCATGACACTGGGTACCCATTTGTGTAGTGTAGTTACTGGCTTGAGAAGTGGATCAGATCTTCACATTATAATTAGTGTGTCATTACTGAGCAAGAGTAAAGTATGATTTTAAGGCAAAAGCGTCACATTTCCAACCTGGAATGATACTCAAAGGAGCTTGCAAAACCTGTTCTGACTCTCAGAAATGTGATGATAAACTCTGATCATGTTTAAAGGGACACAAATAATTTAAGATCAAATATTGGCCGACGTTATGACTGATAGTGAAATATTCTCTGGTTTTCAGATATCTGTTTTCAGAAATCTACCTGTCACCAAGATATGTATTAGATCAGTGGTTTTCAACCTGTGGTCCACGGACCATTGGAGGTCCACAGATTATGTTTAAGGGGTCCATGAAAGGTTGTTGTTACCAGAGTACAGTGGTTTTCAACCTGTGGTCTGCAGATGCCTGGGGGTCCACAGACTATGTTTAAGATGTTTAAAGAGGTCTGCACCTCCATTTGAAATTTTTTAGGGGTCTGCAAATGAAAACACGGTATTAGATGAAGAGACCCTTTGGTATGTAGGAGCTACCCAGGGTTGTGTGTTCTCCTGCTGTCGTCTTTGGCTATTAGGATGTCAAGTTAAAGCATATTCCCAGACCCAGAGCTGTACCTGATATAGCTGACACCAGTAAAAAATCCAAACAATTAAAAACAGGATAGCCACACTGGCTTGCGTGTATTAGTTGGATAGCTGTGTTACTCTGTATCCACAAAAACAACGAGGAGTCTGGAGGCACCTTAAAGACTAACAAATGTATTTGGCAATAAGCTTATGTGGGTAAAAACCCCACTCTTCAGATCAAGAAGTGGGTTTTTTACCCACATAAGCTTATGGCCAAATAAATTTGTTAGTCTTTAAGGTGCCACTGGACTCCTCATTTTTACTGGCTTGCATGATATTAAAAATGCAATGATATGAATGTTCACCAACCAGAAAAAGACAAAGCTAAGAGGAAGCAAAAGTATTTTCAAAGTTTTGAGAGGCTGTTACAAATGACAGTGATCCTCCCCCACCATCCTGCTTGAGTAGCTGACTGCGTCACTAAAGCAGTTCACCAAGTAACTGTAGCCATCCTGATAGCAAGATGTGGCCCTCCACCAAAATCCATACCACAACCTATAAATACTGTTCGTCTTTTTATTGAATATTCAGGTAAATATTTCACATTAATACAGGCTACATAAAGTGGAGCCACTATACGACATGAAATTTACTCAACTTTTTTCCTTTTAAGTATGTAAACAATTATACATGTATTTACCACCGTAAAAGGTTGAAATCATGTAATCATCTAGTTCTCTGCTGCATACAAGTAGCATTCAGTAGTGTTTAGCCAAAAGCACTAGGTTCATCTGATTTTAAGTTCAAAATGGCTAAACTAACTGGAGAACAGAATCAGTTGAATAGGTAAATCAATTTGTTCTTACACAATGGGCAATCAAATTTTCATTGTTACAGCCCACAGAGAAAAAAATTGCTTAGTTAGGCACATTAAAAAAATCCCCAGGGTTCTTCCAAGGTCATAGGTTTCCCAACAAGGCTAAAAAGGATAGACCCTCTTAAATTAGTTGACGTATTTGAGATGCATATTTCCAATGTGAGGTGCCCAGGTGCCAGGCCAAATCTGCAGTGGGGAGAAAAAAATAATTAAGAAATACAGAATATTAAGAATATGCCCAAGTGCAAAATTCTATAATACAGTTCAAAACTCAGACTTATTGTGGCCCAATTTTTTAAACCTGGGTGTCTAAAGTTGGACTCCAACATAGGAGTGGTCAGATTTTCAGAGGGGATATAGCTGTCTTCAGTGATGACCAGGTTTTTTGCATGAGTAGTAACTGGAAACGTAGAACCCGTCAGTGTGTATTATTAGTTTATCTTGTTCATAGCAAAGTGCTGAGCACTGCTGAGAATCAGGCCACTTATTTAGGACCCTAACTTCAGGTACTCAGGTTTGAAAGTTTTGGCCTGTAAACTGATCTTTAAAGCCCAGTCTTGAAAAAAAATTATGTAAACAGGCTCTCAGAATTTAAATACATGACAGCTGTTAAAATCTTTTGTTTTTCTATTAAGCACAAAAATATCAATTGAGAAACATGATAGAAAGTATCATTTTAAACATATGAGAAAAATACGAACAAATTTACCTGCTGAGCATCAGTACATTCTGTTGAATTTTGGACAACCTTTATCATAGGATTCCAAGCTGGATCTGGAGTATGAAGTCCATTAAAGAGAGGCCCTCCTGGGCCGTCAGCTAGCTGAGGATGAGAAGGTATTAGAGCGCCTCCGTACATGGAAATCGGTAGACCCTAAAATAGCAGAAAGGACAATCACTGTACAGTGTAGTGGTTACAGACAATAACACCAGTACATCACATACAGAGTAGTATCTGTCATCTCAAAGAATCCCAGAGAGTTCTACAGAACTTATGGGCAGAGATCACTTCATTCATCATTGAAATTAGAAAGAGGGGCCACTGTGCATCAGCAGTGCTACAAAGCAGT